TGTTCTTCTTTGAAGATCTATCTACTGTTTTTATTTCCTCATTCCCAATCTGTTGTCGTGGAGATTGATTTGCTATAGTTTTATTGCTTTCAAAGGTTTTATTGAGTAGCAATATTACATATCTGAATGAAAAGAAGAGAGGAAAAACTGAAAGAAGATGAGTTACAGGTGAAGGATAAAAGAAGACAGCAGAGATCTGATGGCCTTTTGCGAGATCTGTCAGCTAATCACATTTTCAAGAAATTGGGGTGAAAATATTTTCCTCAAAAGATTCAAGAGGATAAGTCTCTTCTTTGTGGCTGAGATCCAGGAACAAACCTTGGAGATTTCTGATGGCCGAACGGTGTCCACACCTTAGACTTGCCTCTCCTAGTGTAAATTGACTTATCACAAGGAGTGAATCCTGCTTTGAAGTCACTGCCTCTACTGGATGAAACTCAAACATGAGAAGACACTGAAAAGGTAGGCTTGCCAAGTACATTGTAGAGGTTGTTTGTAAGTCCCAAATGTTTCTCATCATAGGTCTTTGGAGGACATGCATAAATTTTTATGACCATGAACCAAACCATGAGAACAGCAGCATTATCAAGAAGAGTTACAGTCCAGCATTTAATTTGCCTCACTTCTGGCACAAGACAATAAAGTTGTTAACAATTCCTCTTCGCTTTTTTTTATAGATAAGTTCTGTTTGCAAAGCAATGCAAAGCATTAAGAGCTTGCTGGAAACTATGATTATTTACTAAATTTCCAAGAAGGCATGAGATTCATGCTGATTACATCAAGTAACAATCAGGTAAGCCTTTAGTGTTATTGCTCATGGGTCATGATCTCCCTTATCTTGAGTTTAGAGAAGCCTGCAAGCATCACCAGATTGTGAGAACTCAGCCAACTATGTATGTCTTTGGAGACTGCCATTATAAGTACTTTTTCTTTAAATTTTATATAATCTGCACTGCTATAGTTTTTGTGAATGACATTTTCAAGACCCCAGGTTCCTCCTTTTCCTCCATCTTTCTGAAAATCAATGCAGACAATTTCAAGATTGGCAAGGTGCTGGAATCGATAGTAAAGCTTGCCATTGTGTAGCTGCGTGTTCTTCTCCAGGACAATATGTTCTTCTCTAGAAGGTTTTTCATGCTCAAAGGGCGATGCAACGCTTTTGGTGGTAGGCATTCGTGTATGCAACTAGACAACACACTCTATGTTTGCCACTAGCAATATAACCCATTGTGCTTTAGATTGAAGGCTGCAAAGTAAACTCGTCTTACCAATATGGCTGCTTGGCCACTTCTCATGGAAAATATATGCTTATGAAAAGTTTTCTTTCCTTACATGTAGTAAAGAATAAAGTATTGTTACTATTGGTGTTTGGGAGTAGCTAAAGTATTATAAGGTATTGGGAATTTTTTATTTTATTTGGACAATACTCTAAAGCTCTATTCACGGGGTGGTGCAGTTATAGAAACCTAGTAACACTTGAATTATTGTTTGTCTTTTAAAATTAACAGTTTCTGCCAGGTAAGTCTATAAGATATTCATAATGCCAAAGATATCTGGAAAGATTAGACTTAAAGAAATTTTCTCCTTACAATTTTAATTAAAAACTATTCACTCCAGAAAGAGGGAAATTAATTATAGATTAAAATTTAAAAAGAGTTATATATTTTCAAACGAAGATACACATTATCATGGATTATGATGTTAGATTGATAAACTTGGTCTCATCTACAATTATACAAAATATCTATTACACATTACCTTCAATCTATCAATTGCCTATAAAATGTAAGAATACAAGGACATAAGTTTGAAACTTGATATATTCTAAACATTACATATAACTAGTTTATAAATTTGGATAAAAGAGATTTTAAGCTTGGTTTAAAGTTATAAAAACACTATCTACATGTAAAAAAGCTGATTATATACTTCTTGAATTTATTTAATGATAACTCTTGAAATTGACTCCATATTTATTTTCATATTAGATTTAAATTCTAGAATTTAGATTAGCATTTCAAAGGTAGCAATTAGGAGCGAATGGTTCTCCTTGGCAGTGGTAGTGGACTATAAGTCTCTCTTGGGAGTGATCTCTTCTCTACATGAACACTGTGTGTATGTTATTTTAACAATTATAATGTTGTGCAAGAACTACAAGAAAAAGGTAAAGCTGTAATTTAGGCTTTTTTCACTAGGCTCTAAGTGATTTCTAAATCAAAGCATGTGATATTAAGCTATGCTCAGATGAGAGCAAAGTCAATCAATGCTTTTTCATCAATTAATCAAAGAAGAATGAGCATTTAGCATGTGGGTGCAGAGTGAAGGCTATAGAGATAACAAATATATGATGGTAAGCTTCTGGGGATTTCATCTCAATTGTTCATTAATGGAGAGTAAATCCTATTTCCAGTCCTATGTAGTAAATAATCTTTTAAAACTGTCAATATTTCCTGCTATGGTAGTTGAAGAAGCAACTTGGTTCTCATCTATTTTGGAGTGCTCTGAATAATTTCATTTGAAGTGCAAAGTTATCTTTCTATATTGGCTGAGGATTTGGATGCTAGATATGACTTTGATTTGCTTTCCTTTAAGCACTGACTATTAGTGCCACTTATTCCTTTAATCTAAGGGCTCTATTCTGTTTCTGAGTAATCCATGTAATTGTAAAAGTTTGTCTTTACTTTTCAAACTGTTTTATAATTTTGTAATAGCTAAATTTGCGGTACTTTAGGCAATGAGAATGTTGGCCAGTGGATTGATTATGCCCTCAGTAGATGCAAGAGGAAAAATTCTTGCTTGATCCGTGTGTATAGTGGTGATGGCCAGGAAGAGCTGGCTTTTGGTCCAGGAGATGTAAGAAGATAAGAAAAGTTATTAATTCTATTTTGTGAATATAATGCAGCAGCCTGGAGAGTTCAACTTCAAGAGCATGAGCACCGTGACTATCCTATGATGGGAAAATACAACAAAATAGCAAAATGGTATGCATCCATCCCTCTGCTGGTTTAGTTTCATTAATTTTCACAGGCCAACACTAGGTGAAGATTGTGTGAGGATATAATTGTTGGGACATTAATCACAATAACAATAACCCTGGCTTGAAACAGGAGAAGGCTTCTAACTCCTAAGCTACTGTTTTCCATTGCATTGCAGTTAGCATGTAGAGCGATGTATTGAAGACCATGTATGCTTACTGTGAATAAGTACTTTGTTTATCAAGTTCTTGTATACTTCTTCTTTTTTATTTTCAGGCTAAGGCCAGTGGCACAACTAGAAAATGAAAAGCCTTCATGAAAAAGCCACCAAGCATCTTCTATATGAGGTTCATCTTTTATTGTTTTTGTCTCTTCCTTTCAATAGTTTCAGCATGTTAAAAACTCAAAAAACCAGGAAGGTGTTGCTACTTTACCTAGTTGTAGAAAAATTTGACTTACATGGCTTTACTGTAGTGAGTCCATCCATCTGCTGCAGCAAGAATTCTTGGTGGTGAGAAAAAGAGCTAAGTTTTGTGTAGGTATAGGCTACCATACCATAGGCTCCCAAACTGCATGCAAGTAATAGAATTGTTGCACCACAAATTTATGATCACAATGGTGATATTTTGTCATGTAATGGGCGAAGTTTGAGACCTGGAGGATGAGAATGTGTTTTGGACCAAGCCTCCACCACCAGAAGGTGGCACATTGTGGAAAAGATGAGGAAATACTGTTATAGTTTTAACAGCTTATTTTTAACTAGCAACATTTAATATATCATATAAAACTTTTCTTTCTTAAATTAATATTCTAAAATTCATATTAATAGAATATATTATATAATATCCTTATATATATATATATATATATATATATATATATATATATATATATATATATATATATATATATATAAATATAAACATAATTTTTTATGATAATCCATATTTTTATTTATAATTTTACTTGTGTTTACATCTCAATTCTTATTACATTTTAATATAGCCAATTATGTAATTTTAAATATGTCCTCTATTTGTTTCTTTATGTTTTATATCTATTTTCTTGGTTTTATGTAATTTCTCTCTAGATAGCCTCAATCTAATTCATAATTCACTTATCGTTTTCATTTCATTTTATTCATAGTGAAAATTAAAAACATAACAATCTCATCTTATGATAAAATGACACATTCCTGATCTTTTTTATGCTTTCCTCACTATCAATTGTTTGATAGTACTCTATCAGCTGCTAAAGTCATGATATGTTAATAATTCACAAGTATTGGTTTAAAGTTTTTGGTCTTTCTACATAGCATAAAGTAATAATGAGTTTTCTACATTCAAGGCAAGCTTTACTTATCTAGGGATTTGATAATAGTATTGACAAGGAGCATATCTTCTGAAATTATAATTTTTTAAAAGATTAAGAGTCACAGGTTTAGATTAAGAGACCCCAGCTCATTGTCTTTTATTTGTGACCACAGCTCATCAGGTTTATCTCTTAGCTGGGTCTGATTCTTAACCAATTCAAGAGGAAGCTTATGATTTTTCCCTTTTTGATTTTACGTTTTGGTGATGGCCAGGGATTTCATGTTGCTGCCAAACTCCTGTCACTCTAAATATTGCTCTAGAACTCAGGCAATAGCACTTTAGTGATGGATCTCAAGCTAGTTATTATTATTGTTGTGCACTTATAATTAGATATTTATCAAAGAAATCATTTTTATTTGAAATATGAAAAAGGAAATAGAAAAATAACCTTCCTATAATGTCAAATCCAATAATAAATTTTATATAATCCCAACTCTGTTCTTATTAGCATACCAAGTCCAACTTCCTCTCACTCTTATGTCACTATTGCTGTTGGAATTGGTGACTTCTCAGATGATTTCTACAACAGATTTAAGTTCTTTACTAGATATTAAGATAGAGTTAAGACACTAGTAAGAATAAAATAATGCTTTCGTTTTAGGGTTTATGCGAGTATGTACGGCTATGGAGATCCGGGCGCCAGGCGCGGCTCAAGCGCTAGAAATCTACGTGGAGGCGCGAGCAGCGGGCAAAATGCCGACTGCCTCCCAGGTAATCGCGGCATTCAAGGCGTGCGGCAGCCTCAATCGGCTAGATACTGGCAGGGAAATCCACGCGCAGCTCCTCCAAGAATCTGTGGTGATGATCCATCGAAATACCTGCGTCGCCACGACCCTGGTGGATATGTACGCCAAATGCGGCAGCCTTGGGGAGGCGATCCAGATCTTCCAGACGATGCAATGCCGCCGGAGCGTCGTGACTTGGAATTGTATCATCCTGGGATACGCTCACGCTGGCGACTTCCATCAGGCGCTAGAGCTTTACTCCAGGATGGATTGCCCGCCGAATCACGTAACGTTCTTGGCAGCGCTCAAGGCTTGCATTGGTGTGGCCGGAGAAGGAGAGAAAGTGAAAAAAGAAGAAGGCGGTGGTGGTGTGGAAAGAATCCAGTGCCTGGAGAAGATTAGAGCGCTACACAGGGAAGCTACACGGGAGATGGTCTCTGGAATTCACATCTTCGTGGCCAACAGCTTGATCACGGCCTACTCCAAGTGTGGAAGTTTACGGGAGGCTTTGGATGTTTTCAAAGGAATGAAAGAGCACAGCGTGGTTTCATGGACGGAGATCATCATGGCTTATGCCGGAAATGGAGGAGGAAAGATGGCTCTCCAACTTTACGATCAAATGCTGGAGCAGGGATTTTTTCCGAGCCGTGTAACTTTGCTGGCGGCTCTCAAGGCTTGCTGCTGCTCCAGTGTGACAGAGGAAGGGGCTGATAAGAGTTTTTATCTGGAAAGGGGAAAGGCAATTCACTCACGAGCTGCCAGAGATGGACACGACTCGCAAGTTCTCGTCGCGAGCAGCCTGGTGGACATGTATTTCAAGTGTAGGAGCTTGGTCGATGCTTTCACGGTTTTTGGGAGCATGGTGGATCCGACAGTGGTTTCCTGGAATTGTGTGATTATGGGGAACGTTCTCAGTGGAGAGGCCGGCCTCGCTTTGGATCTATATGGACAGATGCAAGAGCAAGGCTTTAAACCCGACGCTGCCACCTTTGTAGCGGCTTTGAAGGCGTGTATCAGCTTAGCAGGGAGAGAACAAGGCAAGCTCGTGAAGACAAAGTGTTTGGCTTTGGGAAGAACAATCCACAGTCAAGCGGCTGCTGCTAGTTCTGACGGCGAGCTCCACGTTTTTGTGGCAAACGGGCTGATCGACATGTATGCCAAGTGTAGGAGCATGACCGACGCTTGGAAAGTTTTCCAGAGCATGCCAGTGCGGAGTTTGGTGTCGTGGAACTGCGTCATTTTTGGATTTGCCGAGGCTGGTGATGGCAAGCGAGCGTTGCAGCTCTATCGCCAAATGCAAGACGAAGGCTGTTCTCCAAACCACGTCTCTTACATCGCTGCGCTCAAGGCTTGCGTGGCTCTGGTAGAGAGTTTGGATCTACAGCCAGCTGAAGACTCGAAGATGGTGAAGCTGGAGTGTCTGCAAAGAGTGAAGGCGATCCACGGTCAAGCAGGACGTGATGAGTTGCACGGGCACAGATTTCTCGCAAATGCGATGGTTGCGGCGTATGCAAAGTGTGGCGGCTTAAAGAACGCTCGGGAGATTTTCGAAAGCTTGGGACGAGACAGGGACCTGGTGACTTGGAACTCGATGATTCTTGGTTATGCCGAGAACGGGGATGGAAAAGAAGCCCTGAAGCTCTACGAGCAAATGGAGGACGAAGGCTGTGCTCCAGACGATCTTACCTTCGTAGCTGCTTTGAAAGCTTGCAGCAGCTTGGTGGACGAAGAAAACCAAGATGCAAGCAACGCAAATCTGCAAGAGAGAGTTGCAGCTATCCGGCGTCGAGCAGCAGCAGGAGGCCAGGGGCTCAGCGTCTTCGTAGCCAACACTCTGATCGATTTCTACGCGAGATGCCGGCTCATAGCAGAGTCCCGCGAAGTTTTCGAGAGCATGCGTGTTCGAAGCGTGGTCTCGTGGAACTGCATCATCCTGGGGCTGGCAGAGAATGGTTTGGGCAGGCAGGCACTGAGTTTCTACGCAAGAATGCGCGACGAAAACTTTGCTCCCGATACTGTCACCTTCATCGCGGCACTCAAGGCCTGTGGTAGCCTCGGGGACATGCAAGCTGGCAGTAAGATCCGGCTGGAGATCGTCAGCGCTGGGCTCGAGAAGGATGCCGCCGCAGCAAACTCTCTGGTCGACTTCTACGGCAAGTGTGGAAGCATGGGCGAAGCTCTGGAGGCGTTTGAGTCGATGGAGGAGAAGAGCACAGTCTCGTGGAACGCTCTCATGGATGGCTACAGCCGCCAGGGTGACTACGAGCGCGTTTTCCAGCTCTTTGAGAGGATGCAAGAGCTGCGCTTCCGGCCAAACGAGACGACGTTCCTCGTCCTTCTCAATGTGTGTTGTCACGCTGGATTGGTGGACACGGGGAAAGAGCTCTTCGAGGCTATGGCGAGCGGTCACGGCATCTCTCCCGGGTTGAAGCACTACAGCGCCATGGTTGACTTGTTTGGGAGAGCAAATCGCATGGACGAGGCAGTGAGGATGGTGAAGAGCATGAGAGTGGAGCCGAATGCCGTGATTTGGATGACGCTGTTGGGGGCTTGTTGCAAGTGGAAAGATGTTTGCGTTGGGGAGTTTGCCTTTACTTCCGCTATCAAGGTTTTGGTATCAGCAAGAGATGGAGAGATGTATGCTACAGCCTGTGTCATGATGTCAAACATTTATGCCAATGCTGGGCATTGCTTGCAGAAGAGAGTAACATTGCAAGGTACAGAAACAATATATGACTGAATGAATATGTTGAGGAGGCATAAAAGTTTTTAAAGAGGCATCTTATCTGGCTGTCGATAGTCCCAATCCTATTCAAAGTGAGAAAAGATGAGAGACACTTAATCTTGATTCTTTGCTCAATTAAACTATAATGTATAACATTAAAAAATTGAAAACTTTAAATAGAAAAATTAATTCTTTATTTCCAGATTGTATTGTAGTAAAAAATATGCTTTATTATATTATAATTATCTTCATTAAAAAATGTCAATCAGAATGTACTTAATTAATTAACTAAAATATAAAAATCTTTATATATGGAAATAAATATTGAAATATAGAATACTTTTATTTACTTTGTATTTTAATTAATAATTTATTCGTAATATGGATTTTGAGTTTTTTTATTATCTTTTTAATATCACTGTTTTTTGGTTTTTGTTCAAGTAAGTATCTTTTAATAATATTTTAGCACAAAATAAATATTTATATATAGTGAATTATGTACCAGCATGGAGTTATTATGGTGAGCCAGGATGTTGCATAAAAGATTTTTTTTTATATATTGTGAACAATGTTGTGAATAATCAATTTAATTTAAAAGCCACTTTCTCCTAGATAAATTCGTATATAATAAACTTAACCCCCACATATCTATAACTTAGTTTAGTATTGGTTTATAATTAAAAAAAGAAAATAAACTTTAAAGTTTTATAAATATAGGAATGATAAAATTACACTTTATACTATTACTATGGTTTCAAAGTGTTACAAAGAACATTAATACCATAGTTTTTTATTATATTATTTTTAATATTTTATTATAAATTTAAAGGTTTTACTTATTTTATTCTCTTTAAGTAGTATATTTTTTATTTTTATAAATAATCATAAATGTGTTTATCATGATTTTTTTACCATTGGGTAATGTATTACTAAAGTATATTTCAATTAACATTTTATTGGTAAACTGTATATATTTATAGTTAAATTAGAATTTTTAATTATAATGTTTTAAAAATTATTCAAATCAATAATATTTAATAATCTTCCTTAAAATATAAATTAAATAATTGGAAATAATGGATGACAAAATTATAGTCTTCCTTAACTTATACACTAGTATTGTGAGTGCTTGGAATATGGAAAGGGAATATAGAAAATGTATATATCAATTAGCCCAAAAACCCTAGCTTATATACAGAAGCGATTGGTTCGGATTGAAACCAATCCGACGGCTACCAAAATCCCACTATGCTAATATTAATATACGGCATTGTAGCCGTACACTTGGCCCTCACATCGGAATAATGGAAGGCCGTCAGGGTTCTTTTGTAGACGGGCTGGGATCTGGAGGAACATCAGGAGGAGGCATCGGTGGATCTGTAGATGGTATTAATTACTCTTGGTCCCTTTATATGAAGTGTTTCAACCACTGTACATGCACAATCTCCAAAGGATCAGCCTGTTGGATGTCATGCCGAACCTCATAAACTTGCGGTCCAACTTGCCGCAACACCCAATACGGTCCTTTCCACTGCGCAAGGAGCCCCTTAGATAAACCACTACGATGGGGAAAATGGACTAACACCAAATCATCCACTTTGTACTCTGCAGGTGGACGATGATGGGAGTTGTAGCGCCGTTGTTGTCCCACTTGTACACAGCCTAAGTGTTTGGCAGACTCTACTCGGACAAGTGGAAGTATACTCATCAAATATTGATCCCACGACCTAGCATCGTGAGTTCGTGGCAATCACGAAGGTAAAGCCAGCTTCATTGGTAAAATTGGATCATGACCATATAGAACTTTATATGGTGAAGCACCAACAGAACTCTACACCCCTGTGACATAGGCATACCGAAAAGACGGCAAATAACCATCCCAATCTGAATGCTGAAAGTTCACATACTTCGCAATCATCCTTTAAATGTTCGAACAAGCCGTTCTGCCAAACCATCTGATTGTGGATGATAAGCACTCGTGAAAGTGTGGTGTATCCCCAACCAAGACGTCAAAACATGAAATGCCTCAGCCATAAATGCAAGACCATTATCCGAAAGAATCCGCTCTAGACAAGAATGCTGAAACACCACTCGATTGAAGAGGAAGTATCCAACAGCAGTTGCAAAGGCGCTAGCAAGAGCACCAACTTCCACCCAACGAATCAAGTAGTCAAAAGCAATAATAACATACTCATTGCCAGCAGTCGACCATGGAAAAGGTCCCATAAGATCAAACGCCACTAACTCAAATGGATGGGAAATTGCAATTGACTCCAACTGTCCTTCTGCAGCACAAGGGGGAGTATTATGAGCTTGGCACCAAACGTAGCTACGCACATACCGGATAACATCACGTCGCATCTCTGGCCAATAGAAAGATCTGCACAGCTTCTCGATCACACGACGATGTCCCATATGCCCACATAGAATAGGAGAATCATGGTAGGCATGGAGAAACCGTGGAATAAAGACAGAAGGCACCACCAGCCGTAAATGATCATTAGGATCCGTCCCTACAAAATAAAGAAGGCTATTGTTAAGGCGATATTGAGAATGTAAATGCCAGAAAGACAAGTCATCAGTAAGTGATGTAGGATTCTCAAATGCATCTCGAAGCCTTCAAATCCACGGCTCAATCTTTTGAGCCTCGCGAACCTCATCAAGAGAAGGTAGATCTTGCTTTGTGCCTTGTGGACATTGAACGTCAAGTACAGCAACCGCCGATGGCACAGATTCCTTGTCTAGAAAATCCATAGATGCTAGAACAATAGGCTCATCAGAAACATGAGAAGAGAGTGGAGAAGGAAGAGGAGCTTGAGAAAGGGCATCAGCATCACCCATAGAACTCCTTGGGCGATAAACAACATCAAAATCATATATCTGAAGCTTCAAAGCCCACCGAGCAGTATGACCAACCTGGTTCTTCCACTTCAATAATGAACTAACAGCAGCATGGTCACTTTCAAGTAACATTTAAGAACCATGTAGATATGCATGAAGTTTCTCGAAATCCCAAATTGCCGCTAAACACTCATTCTGTGTCATGGAGTAGTTCACCTCTGCTGGTTGTAACGTACGGCTTATATATGCAATGGGATAATGCTGACCAGGCACACTCGGGCTTTCTTGCATTAACACACCTCCAAGACCAATATCAGAAGCATCTACGCGCAAAATAAAAGGTCGAGTGTAGTAAAGATATGCCAAAACCGGAGGAGTCGTCAACAGCTCTTTGAGATCCACAAATGCCCACTCATAATCTGAAGACTAGATGAAAGATGATGTTGATGACTTCAACAACGCTCGCAATGGTGTAGTGCGATCAGAAAAATGATCCACAAAACAACTAAGATACTGCACCTTACCCAGGAAGTGCTACACATCATTCACATACTTCGGAGTAGGGAACTTTAGAATGGCTACAAGTTTGTCAGGATCAACTTGCAAACCTTCACGAGAAATACGGTACCCAAGATAAGTTGTGTCCTTGGACCTAAACACGCACTTCGACTGCTTCAGCTTTAAACCAACGTTCTGTAGCCGATCCAACACTTTACACACATCATGAATGTGCTCCTCCCATGTCCCCTCCAAATGCATCAAGACATCATCAATGAAGTGAACAGTCACCTTTGGCATATCACAAAGAACTTCGTCCATCATCTGCTGAAAAGTTGTTAGAGCATTGTTCAAACCAAACGGTATCACCAGGAACTCGTACAAACCAAACGGTGTATGAAAAGCAGTCTTGGAAATATCTTCTTTGGCCATCGGTACTTTCCAGTACCCAGAAGCAAGATCTAGCTTGGTGAACCAACGACTTCACCCTAGACAATCCAAGAGATCAGCAGTGTGAGGAAAAGGGTACACATCCGGGATTGTCACTTCATTTAACGCACGATAGTTGATGCAGAAATGAATACTCCCATCAGGCTTCATCACAAGATGAGGTTCACATGCCCAAGGACTCCGCGACTTCCGAATAACACCCTTCTCCAACATCTCCTTGACGTTTGCACGTAAAATTTTGATCTCCTTGGGTGACCGACGACGAACAGGAACCTTGATTGGACGAGCATCCTCGGTTGGAATCGGATGACGTGTGGCAATCTTGGCCCCAGATGATAGGTCAAATTCAAAGAGATTAGAATATTCCTTCATGAGTTGGTCAACAGCTGCAACACAAAGATCGTCAGAGGGATCGGAAAAGGGAAGAGCAGAACAAGATGGAAACACAAGAGGAAACAATGGGGGAACAAAAGTAATGGAAGCAGAGGTAGAAGTAAAAGGATGAAGAGGTACGGAAGTGAGAGGAATGGATGAAACATAAGGAAGTATGAGCCAAGGGGGAGAAGCCTCAAAGTCACACTTGGCATGATTGCGCTGCAACCAATCCACACCAAGAATGAGGTCAAAAGCTTGACTTGGCACCACCCGCAACAATTGCAACTCAAGCTTGAGATCACCCACACGCAGGTCTACCTCATCCCGTGCACATGCATGTGTATGGCCATTGCCATAAAGAATGAAAACTGGGTCCGCCGTATAACGCAAATGTAGATGACGTGTGGCAACAGGTCGAGCAATAGAAGATAAACTTGAATCTGTATCAACCAACATGGAGAGAATAATAAGAGACCTCTTGTTATAAAAACGAACTTGGAAAGTAAACACTAGATGAACCGGTGCCGAGTGAACCCTTTGATGATACTCCCGAAAGAAAGATGGAAGGGTCACTAACTTAGTCGCGCAAAGTCCCTCCGTTACTCGCATGACTCCCATTTCCCGGATGCACCGCGGTGTCCAAACCTTCCACTGCAGCAGCACCAATGGGACGTTGCTGACGCCAAGGTCTCCACCAAGGAAATGGAAGTCGCCAATCTGAAATGTGCCGACAACGCTGATAAATATGACCAACTTCATCACATGCCCAGCAACAAATATCATGGCCACGACCACGTCCTTGCCCTTGTCCTTGGACTCGAGTAGCAGCAGCATCAACCTCCATTGGAACAGGACCATCACTCATAGGAAGTGGAGCTGAAGGATATGCAGCGAGAAGTGGAAGAGGTGACGTCTCATAATGTTGTGCCAAGTGAAGAGCATCATCAAGGGTGGCAGGAGCAAGTGCATGCACAAGTCCAACAAAATCTTGGCGAAGTGTTGGCCACAACATTCCTAGCTTGATCTGCTCCGACATATTGGGCTCCATATGAAGCAAAAGACTTCGAAAACAAATGCCAAATTGCATTACTGACTCAGATGGCCCTTGGCAAAGATGATGTAATTGTTGGAAGGCATCATCATAGTTGTCAGCATGTCCAAAGGCGTGTTTGAAAACGTCCGAGAGAACACTCCAATCCCCACGAGTGGCTGTGCTCAGACCATTATACCATTGCAATGCCGTCCCTTGGAGACACGTAGGAAACTCACGCAAACATCGAGCATCATCCCAAGAATGATATGTGGTAATCACCGTGAAGTGATCGAACCAATGGTACACATCATCCCTAGGATTCCCGTGAAAGAACTCCGGCCGAACATGAGGATTAGCACCAAGAGCAGGAGGAGTTGTACCATATGCCGTGAACGCTGCCATCAACTGAGTTTGGTTGTTCAATTGCAAGCGCATAGCATCAAGCAATTGTACCAACTGCTGCTCCAGAGTCAAAGGAGGAGATTGCTGATTTGCCATGAAGATGGATGAAGAAAGAGCAAAAGAAGAGAAACGACAAAAAGCGAGAAGGAAATAGGAGATCTAGACAATGCAAAAAGCTAGATTTAAACCAAAATCCTGAAAGAGAAGAACAAAAGAAAGGAAATGGAAAAAGCTAGATCTAGACGATGCAAAAAGTTAGATCTAAACCAAAATCCCAAATTCAAGTACCCCTTAGGGACAATCAAAAGTGCCCTTCATCTTCACCAATGTGAGTGCTTGGAATATGGAAAGGGAATACAAAAAATATGCATATTAATTAGCCCAAAAACCCTAGCTTATATATAGAAGCGAGTGGTCCGGATTGAAATCAATCCGACGACTACCAAAATCCCACTACGCTAATATTAGTATACGGCATCGTAGCCGTACACTTAGCCCTCATAGTATGTAGTTGTTATAATAATTTAAGATGTTGTATAATAAATTATTGCAAAAAGTATTATAATTAAACATTTTAGATATGTCTCTTTAGATATAATATAAAAATAAATTAAAATCTATATGAAGGGTTTTATCATACTCAGATGATACTCTAACTTTTCTTTTACAACATCTTAAATTATTGCAAATGTTTTTGTAATTAAACATTTTCGATATGTCTCTTTAGATATAATATAAAAAGAAATAAAAGTCTATATAAAGGTTTTTATTAAGACGATGCACTATATTTTCTTTTAATTTTAATTATAACTATAACCTAATGTAATCTATTTTATACACTACAATTACCATATACCCTTATTATTATTAATGTAATTTTCTTGCTACAATTCTTGAGTTTGTCCTATAAAAATAGACTTTAACAATAATGTAATCATGTACAAAAGCATTTTATTAATTAGCAGAACAAATGATTTTCTGTTTTTGTTGTTTTACTCAAGCTACCCAATTCGGGTAGAGACAACCCTGCATGCTTTCTTCACTTTGTCTCTTTCTCTTTCTCTCTTTGTCTTCTTTTTCTGCTTTTGTTGTTGCGAGCTTTGGAGATCGGTGTATCGAAGTGCTCGTTGCCTGCCTCTGGATTGTCTTTGTCAGACTTGCTTGTTACAGAGTAAGGAAAAAAAAAAAAAAAAAATTCCCTTCTTCACGATGAAGGAAAAAGGAAGCAGAAGGAAATGCATACCTCTCGTTTGGTTTCTCTTCTTTCCTCGTTTCACCTCCGTCTCCATCCTTCGTAAAATTACAGTGTGGGGTTGATGTTACAGCCGAGTCCTCGCTAGCTCGTAGCCATCGACGAGTGTGAGAGGACCAAAACCACCGCTGGAGCGGAGGTAACAGCCTGCCTGTTCTCACTGTTTCTTTCTTCCCTGAGTGTATCCATCCTCTCACATCATCATCCCCAAGTCGGATAAGTCGTCCATGGGAACGTCCAGGCCCATGAGAAACTCTCCTTGATCTTGGAGTGTGGTGTCTTCCAGAGAGCTAAACCATTGCTCGATCCCTGCTCCTATATCCTGTGCCTCGTCGTGGACGCCAAGGTCCTCCGGGATTGCAAGCTGTGTGAGATCCAGGCCAGACTGGGACGCCACCGTGTTCACGCCATGGCTTCCCAGCTTGTGCATTGCAGTAGCCGACGACGATACAAGCTTTTCTTTCGGAACTTCGGCAGGCTTTCCTAGCCCGTTCACGTCCTTGAACAAGGCAGTCTTTTGCCGAGGCTTTGTCTTTGTTTTCCGCTCGCCTTTGACAGTGCCAAGGCCTTGCCGAGGAACCCTGTCGTTCTCAGCTTTCCTGTGACTCTCCTTGCCCTGTCCTTTGCCATCCCTCTCCCGTTCACTCCGCTTGCCTTTGGCACCACCAAAACCAACACTTCCATGGCTGTTGCGCACGCTTGTGGCTCCTGTTGTTAAGTCCTCCGGTGAGTCTTTCCAAGATGACCACGAGTTGTCCTTCCCCTTTACGTGCTCCGCGTTTCCATCCATAGCACCCTTGTCTTTCGCGTCTGTTCTTCGCATAACAAGCTTCCCTGCATGTGTTGCATGTTAAGGCTGATCCTCTGGAAATTTAAACAAAATGTACCTCCGAGCTTTTGTAGGCTGGTTTCGCTTGCTGCTGGCGTGCCTGAAGTGTCCACACTGTTGGCAGCGGCGGCCGTATCGCTTGACTTTTGGACATTACATAGCAAAGTGTCCCGTAAGTTTGGATCTACGAAGCAACTGTGACCAGCCTCGAATTTCCGCAATCTGGCCATTGCGCGCTTGGCAGAAGCCAAGGCGGCTGCCCTCGTTCCTTTGTTGCCTGCGCCTTTGTTTCCAGCACCACCTGAGCTTCCACGACAGCCCTGCAGCTTTTACCAGTAATAAGAAAAAACTCGTGTAAAACAGTGCATAAAACCTTTCTTCGGGTGTAGGCATTCTCGACGAGTTTTGAAATGGCAAGTCGCTCACGCTCCCTAGAAATATTAACGATTATAATAGCAAGTGAAAAAAAAGGCTATTACCTTATCTCTTCTTCTCGTTTTGCTATGATACACTTTTCCAGCCAATCGACTCGTTGCCGGTTTTGTGTCGCCTGTGAAAAAGTTATGGAGAGTAAGTGACATTCAAGTTTAATACCTGTTCCTTCAGCTCCTCCTTCAACTTCGATATCTCCACACATATTTCATCCTCGTCTCGTTGAGAAAGATCAGGCTGTTCGGCAAAACCGTCAAGAGTAAGAGGTGCCTTCTCTGTAAAGATGTACTCACCACTTGCTCTACCACGAGACCGATACTTTGAAGCTCGAAAAGTATCCGGTCATCCAAGTTGAGTTGCTCGTATTGGGAATCCCATGTACTAGATCGTCCTTCTGTTTTTACACCAGGCAAATGATTGGCATCACTCGCATCCGCCATGATCTCATCGCCATCAGCAACTTCATCAAAACTTGACTGGTTGTTGCCATGTCCATTGGAACAGTAATTTCCGTCAGTAGCGTACTTTTGATCCCGTAATGTACTTGAGGCTGGATATCCGTCACCTTCCAGGCTCTTCTCGGTTTCCTCCTCTCCCTCATTTATAAGAGCCGCCAAAAGCCTTTGTGACAGGGGATATATCCTGTCATACCAGCCACCACCAGCACCAGTTCGACCTCCGGTGCGAACCTCCAGACGATCACTACCGTCAGGTTCCAGATTCCCATTTGCAAAATGGGAAGACTTCTGAGCACCGTCATTCATAGGCAATGACGAGACATCACTGCTGCACTTCGAGTCAGCCTGAAAGAAAATCCGTGCATTAGAAAATAGAACCTTCCTCATGCTCTCGTGGTTTCTCACCAGTTGATGCAAGTAGGAAATGTCATCAGATGTTAAAAACGTAAAATACGGCTCCATTTCTTTCCAAAAGTCACTCGAGCATGCGGCAGCTGCAAGGTTCAGCAGACGGTCATGTGAGTACACATTTAGTAAGGTTTGCACATCTATACCACTAGCGTCAACTGCGGCTCGAACGGCAGCGACAAGCTCCTCATGGTCATCATCTGATTCGCCTGGAGAAATCAAAAGAGAGCCTTCAGAAATCGAGAACACGTTAAAACGTTCCTGGATCGCTGAAAGGACAAGGCACCGTACCTAGTTCAGGTGCACTACTGGATATAGGTCGTCGAATCCTTGACATGGACTTGCGATCAACAGCTGCTTTTTTTGTTGTTGGAGTACGACCAGGCCTACAAAATCCCAGAGTTGAAGTTGAACATCTAAAACTAAAAATGCGAACGAGATGTACCTGTCATGCTTTTCAATCCTCGCACTCCTTAGCTGTTTAGCTGTACTCGTCGCAACATCTACTTTTTCAATCGTTGTCACCATTGGCTTCGGCATACAGAAATTCCGTCCGCTCCTTCCTTGCCTGCGAACTCCATCTCCAACGTCCTCCTTCACCAGCGAAGCCTTTGCTGGTAGTATGAGGTTAGACTTGTGGTTTGAAACAGGCCGAGAATCCCATTCTCCATGCTTCTTCCCCTTGTCTTTCATCTTGTTCTCACTGGCTTCTTCCGATTCCTCACTCTCCGAGACAACCACGGACGACTGCATCCGTTCACTTCTCGGCTTGCTTTGCGCAGGAGAATGTACGTTCCCAGGTGGTACTCTCCTCGGAACTCCTCCGACACCGTTGACGCTATTCGTGAGTCTTGGGCCAGCTGCTGCTGCTGATGGCTCACGTTCAGGAAGCGCTTCAGGGATATCCTCAGCTGGCAAAACTCCCCCCGGCGGCAAGTTTACTCGTCTTGCCACCCGAGCCATCTTCTGAGGCCTTTGTCCAACCCACTGGGCAACAGGAGACGAGGACCTCGACGGAGCGGGTCGTTTGCGGTTCCCTTGTCCCGATGGAATTTGAGCTTTCCCGGGGCCTTGCGGTTTCTCACTGAATGCGGTCACGCGGTTTAGATTAGAGAGATGCGCCGATGCCATGGAGCCGGACCGAGGAGCTCGGGCGGCCTTTTTCGTCACGGTGGATGTTCCAGGAGTCATGTGCATGTCATCCTGCAATATTGGCCTGCAACAAAACATTAGCATCTCGTTAATCTTTTTCTTGCAGAGACGAATAAAACTCGTACTTGACACCGTTCTTCTGGAAGCGTTCCTTGTCCGTCACAAAAGAACGATCAGCTTTGTCCCCGATAGCTCCCTCAATTACACCACGAGCGCCAGTGCCGTTCATTTGCATCGAGGACTCGGTTTTGTGAATCGAAGTAACGCCATGGACAGGTCCAGACCTGTGATTTCCAAGATTATAAACGTACAAAACCTTGACTTTTGTCTGTACCTCAAACCGTGAGCATCATTCGACCTTGGTCTCGCTTCATGAGCCAGCCGATGTTGTCCGCTCCACTTGTGATCGCGTTCTCCATCAACAACGCCGTTTCCAGCGGGAGGAATGTTTGCATCGGATTTTATACCAGACCGCCGTCCTTTCAATTTGATCTTCTCCCAGCCATCGTTCGGAACCCGACTTTCTGTTGGAGTTGGAGACGGGAGCACCGTAGACGATCTCGGGGACTCCCTGTCTGCTGATTTTTTCATGGAAAGGTTGCTGTTTGGTCTTGGCCCCTCCTAAAGAATGATAGTCACGAAAATGAGAGAACTTAACGATGGAGAGAAATTCAAAACTCACTCCTGCTATGGATGTCCGAAGCCTTTTATTAGGAACCACTTTGCTCTTCTCTGTAGTTTTAATACCATCGGCTTGGCCAGCAACAGTGTTAACTTTCAGTGTCGTTGATATCCTGTCAGCTGGAGATGCTCCTGGAACTCGCTCGGAACCTGTGTCAGGCTTGGACCGCTTTCTCGATTGCCGGTACCTGTCAAGCTTGAGAATCGCTTCAGAAAGGTGACGAGATCGTTCCCTGGGAGTGAGACAACAATCAGTTCAGCAATACAGAAATTACTAAAATGATGAGAACGTACCTTGCTCTTGCAGAGAGCTCAGAAACACCAGTTTTTACACGCTTGAGCTCCTCCGCTCCAAGGCTGTCTAGAGGCCTTGCAAGGGTCGGATCCTCCACCGAGCCAGTGATGGCATTAGTTACTCTCCTTAACTCCGTCTGCCTCGCATTCCTCTGCTCTCCAAAAGGAATGCAATCTAGTGATAGTAACTGTGACAGGGAGACGAGATCGCAAGCCGGTCCCGGAGCGTTTCCGCCGCCCCCACCACCTCCACCATGCGTGCGTCCGGCCTCGTGACCGTCACGAAAGCTGCTTGATCTATCCATACTCCTGTGTCCATTTGGAATGCTTGTCATAAACTGCGCACCATCAGGACTGCTAGAGCTGAGATTTACAGCCATCCCTCCACCAAAGGCACCCTTTGGTGCCTAGTTATTCCTTCAGCTCATCACGTAAAATTTGTAAGAGCCTGCCGTCAACCCTGCAAAGCACCACAAACTAAGTGACGAAGAAAAAAAAACTCTAAGCCCATTAGACACTCGCTCTCCACAAGCTTGTTATAGAAACCAAACTATGTGCAAAAACTTCCTTCTAGATCACGTATGAGAAGCCTGCATTGATCCTACAGAGTTGCGAGCTTACTGGATTCAACCCATTACATCGAAGTAGCATTCCTCTCGAGCAAATGAGAAACCACCAGGCGATAGGATACTGCAATCAAACAAGGGACTTAGAATTCACGGCGGTAGCAAGGAGCCATTAAACCCCAAGCTCGAGAAACCAAGGCAAACTAGCAATTAAACAGTGATAATCCGAAGAATTCACGCAACCCCATTAAGCTCCCCCAGGAAGAAGAAGGGAAAAAAATTTCCTAGAAGCAGCGAGCTACCCACACAATCCCTGAATTGCCCTTGCAGACCCTAGCACTCCAAAACCTTGCGAAATTCTCCCCAACCCTTGGGAAAACCCTGCTTCATACCTCATCAAATCGCGCGCTGTGCGCCTCGTTCCAAAGCTGTCGCGCCGCACTGCTTGGATCGGGCGTCCATTGCCGGGCTTAGCCGCAACGATGGCCGCGATCCGAGCTCCACTCCATGGATCATACCCTTGCTCCACCGGGAAAGAGTAGGGGTAAAAAAAATAAAACACCACAAGCCCCCTGTTAAGGGGAGAGAAGAGCCCTTGCGGATGAATGACCCCATGCCGCCATCCACATCCACACCATGCGATCCTGCATGAGCTGGCAAGCCAGCCGGTGTACGTGGCGTGACGCCACTGGCCCTAGCCCGGCCCCACGTGTTCCCGGGGCATGATGATGTGGCATGTATGGTACTTTAGGGCTCCTCTTTTTCCAACTTTGTGCCAGCCCGATTCTTAAAGATTCTCTCTTTGGCCCCTCTTGATTGGGTGTTTGATCCAAACGTCTCTCCTCCGAATGCCAACGCCACTTTTTCTGTTTGTCCGTCCCATGGGCTAAAATTTAACGTCGCACTCACACTACACTACACACATCCCGGATGTTTGGAACTGAAACACCCAAAAAGAATTTGACTTCCCTAGACACTGGACGAATGAAATGGGGTAACTATATTTTACATTTGGCCTGGATTGGATGGATCTCGATCATCATCACCCGCCTTATAATAATTAAAACGAAGGAACAAATCTTTTTACTTGGCTCGTCATTGCCCTTTCTTTTTTTCACTTTCTAGCCGTCGTCGTGCGTTTCTTCTCGTTGTCCAATTGAACAACGTAGCTTCTCAAGCTCCGCTCTTCGATCTGCGCGTTACAAAGCATATGTCGCTAGAGGAAATCGAAGCAGGACAATGGAAGTGGAGAGATCTTACCTCCAATGTCGCTATCCTATCTAAGATCTCTCCACATTCCTGGAGAAGTGCCTTGCCTTGCGATGATACATGAGCCAGCTGACAAACAACCTCGTTCGTCTTCTCAGCCTGCGCAAAACACCAAGCACGAGAGATAAGCGCTTGCTAATCTTTACAAAAGCGCTAGTGAAACGAAACAAAACAAAACAAATCTGGAGGAATCAAAACATACCCTGGGGAGCAACTCTCGTGTCGTCGATTCTAGTGGTACCATTGCATCGCCCAGTAAAGTCAATGCATTTTGAAGCGCTGGAATGTCAACCTGGTATAAAAGGTAGCACTTTTAAGAGCCAAGAAAGGAAAGCAGCTCCTTTACCTTTGCTCCGCCAGTAACCGGAACTTTCAAGGTTGCAGCTTCCAAGGCTGCAATGAATCCAGACAGAGCAATCGCATGCTCGGGCTCTAGCTCTTCCCATTCGTCCAAATGCTCACCCTGCAAAACAAGAGCTTCAGAAATATTTCAAGGCAAGAAGAAAAAGTGTGAAGCCTACATGAGCCGCAATCACCGCACGAACTTTCAAGTCCTGCTTTGCTTTTTGCAATCTGATGCGCTTCTCCGCTACCCGGCTTTGCAAATCAGAAATTTGCAACGAAGCGTTGTACAACATTCGCTGCGAGCAGCCACAAGGAAAAGCGTTAGCAACAAAAGAAAATCAAAAGTTCGAAGGTTTTCTACTTGGTATGAAGCACACATACTTCTCCAGTGGCCTTCTGAGCGCTCAACGTCGCCTGTGAACGAGCATTCACGTATCGCCACTGCAACCATCGATTGTGGAGAATCCGGAGACACAGTGCCTCGTCCTGTTGACTCATTGCCCTTCGACCAGTCGAGCTATCATTCCCGAAGTTGAGCATGCACGCCACACTACCCGGACGAACTCCTTGATAAAAACCAGCAGCGACACCACTAGGCAGGGCTCTCGTTCTTGTCGGACTCGGCAAACCTCGCGAAGGAGATGAAACTTTGGAAGGAGACGAAGGTGGCGGCGATGGCTGTGGTGCTACTGTGGATGAAACAGCACGCACAGGAGAGTATACCCAAGACGGTGCCTGACTCGGCGCTGGAGTACTCGCAGTCGAAGATGGAGCTGAATTGCCGCCGCTGGCATTCCCACTCTTGTTTGATCTTCGGTTGCTCGTCTTGGATCCCAGAAACTCTCCTTCGGGCATCGATGATCTCAGCTGGTTCACGTCCGAGAGCCTTCGAATCCTACTCCCCAAGTCTTGCCAGAACCTCGCCGGCACCACAGTTCCTCTCGCGGCCTTGCTCGGCCTAGAGGAGCTCTTCTCGCTGTCGACAGAGCTCCTCTGAGAATCCAAAGAACTCTTGACGCTGTCGCCAGCGTCCGAGTCGCAGCTTGCCAGATCCGCGTCGTCCGGAACGCTTCTCACGCACCTTGTATCGATCTTAGTCTCGTCGCCCAGAGAAGAGGAATCCGCCGGCTTGGATGGTTTCTTCGTCGGCTCTAGGAGCTTCCCTGTGAGCTGATTGAAGCTCCGCGCTGGAACGAGGTAGCGATTCCCTTTGGTCCCTATGCTCGACGCTCGACCCATGCTTAGATCCAAGCTCCGGCTGATGGATTTCCCATTCGCCGTCCCGCTCCATCTCTGCGATTCGAGCTTGCCGCCGCCCACATTCTCGATCGGCCTGGCATTCTCCGCTTGATCCGCGCCCTGGCGGCTCCTCTTCCTCTCCGGCGTTGCCACGCGGGGCCGATTTGCCGCGGGCTTGAGGGCGTGATCAATCTTCGCCTTGTCATCGCAGAGAATCGCGCCCTGGGAGCTCCCTGTGACGATATTCTGGCAGGAAGACCACACCTCCTTGGCAGCACCGCGCTTGTCATCGCCATTGCGCTTGCGCTCGGCCGAGATGGCGCGCTTGGGAGGAAGATCGAGAGGAGCTGGAGCGGCAGGAGCGTCGCCAAGGCGGCCGACATTTGGGGATGGAAATCTGCGAACCGTTGGAGGAGGAGGGGGAGGAGGAGGCGCTGCCGCCGCTACTCCTCCTCCCGATCCAGCGATCTTGTACCTGGATGAGACTTCCCTATTCCGCGGCTTTCTTGACACGCCCACATTGCTCTTCTCTGCGAGCGCCAAAGGATCTCTCTCATTTTCCAGCTCCAGCGTGGCCGCAACCATCATCGCTGTGCCATGCCCGCCCGGAAGAAGAACCACAAGAGGCAGAAAACCCTAGAGCTGCCGACCTAAAACCCCTGCGATTCTTGCGACGAATTGGAGATCTGGAGCGCTGCGCGGATCCAGATCCATGTTCTTGGTCTGCAAGCGATGGCACGCCGCCGCCGCCCTAGAGCGATCCATCGCTGCTCCTCCCGCGTGCATGCTCCCTCCAAATCCACATTCATATGTGGTGCAGCCGTCCGATGGGTGCATCCGAGAGCGGCAGGGCCGCCACGTGGGAAGAGCCCAACGTTCAGCCGACGAATCAAGCGAGACCGTTGGATGGAGCCACGTTTAAACGGCATCACATTGGCCGTTGGATGCCCCCACACTCTACGTGCTTTTGAAAAATAGAAGAGTATCTCAACTTCATGTGTGCACGACAGGGATATTTGAAATCTAAAGAATATTCTAACAAAGTCTTACAGAAATTACATTTTTATAACTTGCTTTATTATAAAAACAAAAGGAGTGGGCTTTTAGTATTAACAACACTCACTTTAACATGGAAAAAAAAAGGATAAAAATAAAAATAAAATTACAGTCGAGTAGAAGGCCTTCGCCTAGCGGTATCAGTCCTGGATTTCTTCCTGGGATGGTGAATCGTTCCATCGTTTCCTCCATCCCTGTGAGCTACTACTACTGGTGGCGATGGCGAGGACGACGATAGCATCACGCTGTAAACTTTGCGAGCTCGAGCCCAGCTAAGCGGCCCGCCATCGTCTACCATGCTCTTGATCCCTCCTTTACTGCTCGAATCTCTCCTGGCGCTGATAGTAGTGCTGCTGCTGCCTTGATCTACGCTCGCTTGACCCCTCTTTCGCTTGTTTGAAACTTTGATCCGCGGCTTTCTCCGGCTGTTCCTCTTCCTCTTGCAAATCACTAGATCAGCTGGGTGAGTAACTTGGTCCTGTCTATCTCTATCACCTGGCCTCGTCTTCTTTCTACTGCTGCTATCCTTGCCTCTACTAACGCTACCTGTTCCCTCGTCCTCTTTTTCCTGCTGTGGTGGTGGTGCTGCTGCTGGCGTTAATCTGCCGGCCTCTGCGAATACCTGTCGTTGCTTGCGAGATGATCTCGAGCCGCTCATGCGGATGCCGATGTTGATCTTTATGGAGTTGAAGTCCACGTCTGGAAACATCAAGCCCATCCTTTGGAAGAAGAGTGAATGCAGTCGTCGAGCATCTGCCTGCACCTGAGACGAGGAAAATGAGACGAGATTTACAAGTTTCTTCCTGAAAGATTACGAGAAACCAACCTCGGCGTTGTGTGTGTTGTAGCGGGAGGCGTTGTCCAGCATGAGCTGCACGTCACCCGCGAAATCCAGCACCGTAGCATAATCGAAGCGCTCCAGGTGCTCTTCGATCGTTTTTGCGTCAATCGGCTTGTCGATGACTTTGTAGTAGTCTGGAAGCTCGTGCCGCTTGGGAAGCTCCATTAACAAAGCGGATACCTGTCGCCCGTCCTTGTTCATTGCACCTTGCAGCTTGCTCAAGACAGCTTTGCACTGCAGACAAAAACACAAAGGCTCTTAGAAAAAATGCGAAGGAGAAAAGAAGTGAAAACGCACCTTCTTCTGGACGTTGTCCTGCATTCTTGCACCTCCTCTAACAGTCCGAGTTTCTTTCATCTCAGCGACGGCGACTTCTTCTGCCAGCTCTTGGAATCCATTGACTCTTACCTGCTTTGATGCTGCTTGCGAGCTCCAATTAGCAAAGCCAGTGTGAATGAACGTTGCTGGCCTAGGCGTGATGCTCCATACATCAGGACGTTCATATTCGCTGTATCCCGGCCACGTTTGCAGAAAGCCAACAGGAAATACACCTTGAACAGGTACATTTCCCGCTCCAACGCCAACCTTGCGCCGGTGACGGGCACTTCGCTTGCGTTTTCTTCGTGGCTCCACAATCTGGTCTTCGTCTGGATCCTTTTCGGAAGGACTATCTCCGGGAGAGTCACCCGAGGCCGCGATTTCACCTTCTTCCAAATCCTCGCCATCCTGAATAACGAGAAAACATTAGTTCATATGCAAAACATATGCAAAAATAAAGAACAAAATCTCTACTTACAAGATCTTGGTTAGATCTGCTTCCCAACGCCGCCAGCGATCCAAACTTTTTGGAGTCTACCACTTGTAATTCAACTCGTGGTTCTGGGCTTCCTTCTCTTTCGTCAGACGATTCTGCCACAGCTTCTGCCTCGTCATCCATCTCATCAACATCATCCTGTTGCTGCCGCCCAGTATCGTCTTCCTCCTCATCAGAGCCGTCCCTTATTTCACCTTCTTCCTCATCTTCTCCGGATGAAGACTCTTCCTCTACAACAACTTCTTCGAGATCTTCGTCGTCCTCTATTTCTGTAGGCGGAACCTTCACCTCAAATGGAGGTCGACCTCGTCTTGCCGGCTTGAGTCCCTTGTGATCGTGTATCACAGTGAAGTTCTTTCTTGACAACGCCTTCTTCGCCAGTATTCTATCTTCCTCTGCCTTCGTTCCTATAATACCTGACATACCTGAAAATCCCTTCACTAATGCCTGCTTGGACGTAGCTTTGATAGCTGCATTCACCTCGTCCGAGCCAACGTGAAGCCACTCCGGGACCTCGTCGTATGCAACCATTTCACCAGGCCAGTCACATTCTTCGTCCATTTGATCGAAAAGCTCGACTTCTTCTTCACTCCTGGCAATCATCCTGTTCACTTCTTTCAACGTTGGAACATCGTGAACCGACTCCTGATATCTCTCCTCGTCATGCAAGAGCGCTTCCAACGTCATGCGACGCTCTTCGTGTGTAGTCCTCTGATCGAAACGGCCCGCATTGATCACTTCATCGGCCATATCTATCTTGTGCTGCTGAATATTATTCCGGACAAGGCTTTCTACGGACCCCATGTATCTATCCTTCCCCGCCATATCATCGTCAACGTCCAGGGAACCTCCATTTCGGAGCTCGTCCTCCATTTGATAGCTGGTGAACGACTCCACAACAGCTTCCATGTATATCACCTTCACCTCTGACTTCTGTCCAATACGATGAGCTCGTGCTACAGCCTGCTCCTCGTTCTTTGGATTTGGATCAGGATCGTATATAACCACTGTATCTGCTGTCTGGAGATTCAAACCACGACCTGCTGCCCGGATGCTGAGCAAAAAGATGAAGCACTGGGAACCAGGCGCATTGAAGTCCACAATAGCAGTTTCTCGGGAGTCCAGAGGGGTTGTCCCATCAATTCGTCGATATATCAGACCACGCCACTGTAGGTAATCCTCCAGGATATCTAGCAACTTCGTCATTGTGCTGAAGAGTAAAACCCGGTGGCCCGACCTCTGTAGCTTGATCAATATCCTATCAAGTATCCAAAGTTTCCCACACATCCGAACCATGTTCTCGTTGAAGAGTCGACAGTGTGGAGGATAATTAAGATAAGGATGGTTGCACACTTTTCTCAGCTCCATGCACTTGTTCTGTAACGGAGCATAAGCCCTGGCCTGTCGCTTGCCATTGCCACTGGCCACCCTTTCTTCCTCATCGGCTGGATCCAGACGAATAGTACCAGTTGCCTTCACCCAGTCGTATATTGCTGCTTGAAAAGATGACATTTTACACTTCAAAACAACAGGGACCTGGAAATGTGTTGATATGAAGTAAAAGAAAAGGAAAAGACATTTTAAAGACTTACCTTGGGCGGAAGAGACCCCTCGACATCTTCAACCCGCCGTCTAAGCATAAAGGGCTCAAGTATTTGATGCAGCCGGTGAATAACGATGACTTTCTTTTCCGTTTCAAGCCAATCATCCTCAAGTGTATTGGCATCTCTTTGGAATGGCTTTGAGAACCAGTCGTGAAAAGCTTTACTGTTGTCAAAGACTTCAGGAAGGAGTAGATTTAAAAGCGACCACAGCTCATGTAGATCGTTCTGACATACAACCAAAAAAATAACTTAAGTATTTAGATAGTATAAAAACCAATACTCTTACTTGCAGAGGGGTGCCGGTTAGAAGCAGCCGCCTTTGACAGCGAAAACGATCCAAGTCACGAGCAAGACGGGACTCTCGATCTTTCATACGCTGAGCCTCGTCTATAATAATATACTTCCAATCAACTTTTGCTAGTTTTGATCTGTCGCGCATTATAAACTCGTACGTAGTAACTAGAACATTGAACTTCAATGCAGCAACTTCCTGTGCAGGGCAAATCTATCAGCCAAAAAAATTTTATGACTTAAGCAAACGGCACCTGTGAGTAAATCCTAGAGCGGTCTTCTCTTACACCAACATAAAATATGGAGCTCACGGAAGGCAACCATCGGAGCAGCTCACTCTAAAACATGAAACCTTTTCAAGTTTGAAAACCAGCCACAAGAATGAGTACCTTCCAGTTCACTATGACTGCGTTGGGAACAATAATAAGATGTGGTCCGTAATTTCCTTTGAACTCCATCAAGTATGCAATGAGCGCCATAACCTGGACGAAAACATCTCAGACAAGCCCGGACCTCAAAATACAAAGCTAACCTGTACAGTCTTTCCCAATCCCATTTCATCGGCAAGGATACCATTTAGTCTGTTATTGTACAAAGAAAGCATCCATTGAAGACCGACCTGCAAAAACGATCAGCGAAAGAGAAACTTACATGGACCAGCACTCACCAGCTGATAGTCACGTAATATTCCCGCCCGAAGCATTGACGGCTGCCTCAATATTTGCTCGTTCACTGCATGAGCCAGAGTATAGTACCTACAACAAGGACACAAGCATCAAGCATACAGACGAATGAAAAACCAAAAAGACTCAATCCTTACTTATTTACAGAATTGGATGTAGCACAGTTCCAGCTCCTCAATGCTACAGCTTCACTCGCTTGAGCGGCAGCACGTTCAACTTCCTCTTCGGAAAACCCCTGCACAAAATTACAAAATATGTTAAATACCAGCATTCCATGGTAGCTTTCGTGAACGTACTTGAGATCGCGCAGAAGCAGCAGCAGCTAATGCAGCTTCTTCTCTTTCCTGCTGAGTCTTGACAGACGATATCTTTCCTCCAAGCTTGTGAAGATAATCTTCTGTTTGAGACAAGAAAGATTCCAGGACCTCAAATCGCTGCTGAGCATCACCGGGAATTTCTTTCTGCTGCTTTATCAACATCGCCCTGTATGCATCGACGTCGTTGTTCTTTAAAGCTTCCATTCTCTTACTGCGATCTTCGTCTTTCCTTTTCGAGAACTCTCGTAGAAGTTTCTCGTGGAACTTTGCAATACCTCGGTTACGGTTGATACGAGAATCCCGAGCAGACCAATGTGCTTCAAGGAGCTTCTTCCGCCACTGAAATATGCCCTTGAGATACTTTTCCTTGCTTGTCTTTTGCAGCACCATAACTTGTCTTGAAATCTCCATCCTCTGACGCTCACATAGACGAACAAATTTCCGGTAAGCTCTATCACCCATGGCCATGATCTCCTGTTGCTGTTCCTCGATTTCATTTCTAACCTTCCCTTGCATCTTGAGAAGCACTAACTTCCTCTGCTCGATCCGTAGCTTCAGCTTGAGTTCAGAAGGTACGTTCAAGTTACCATCCGACAGTAGCATTTCAATGACTTTGAGCTTCTTAGCCTTCTTCTTGCCAATTATTCTTAACCCCTCCTGAAGTAGAAGCTCCCGGACGTCGTATTTCAGGGACGCTGGCGGTCCCCAAACATTCGGAGTAGGAAGCAAACTGGCCTCCGGTTTCTTACCAAGAGGAGGGAAGTCGAATAAAGGACCACGGTAACGCTTGCTTGCCGGCGTTTTGCTAGGTAGCCGAGAAGTGTTTGATTGCTGAGTTGAAAGATCGATCCCATTGTTTTCATTCGAATCCGCCTGCTTCTCGTCCTCGACCACAGACTTAGTTGGCACCACCTCTTGGACACTTTTGACAGCTTCACTCTGTGAGGACGCTTGCTGCATTCCTGAGCCCTTCAAACTTTGTTCTAATTCTGAGCCACCATCTTGAGTTTTAACTGGAGATTCACGATGCGATTTTTCGTCAGCAGTTTCGTTCAAGACCTTCGGCTGGCTGGTTTCGGGTGGAGGCAACGCCAATGCCCCTTGTTTCTGTGGCGGGACTCCTAAAGGAGTCGGAGTTATAGCACGGATCATGTCTGATGTGAAGGAACGATCGCCACGCTGAAGTTACAAAACAAAAAATTAAGTTTTGCGCGAGAAGGTAAGACAGATACGCGTACCTTTAAGCGACGGAAAGCTAGGATTTGGGCGCGCAGTACCATCAACTGCTGGATAGTGAAGCCAACAGCCTTCACAGCCGGTTGAGCATGCTGAGAAGAAGAATCATTTGCAGGGGCTGGTGCTGGAGCTGGAGCTGGAGCTGGGGGTTGCTGCTGCAAATGCTGTGACGCGACCATGGAAACAGGGGTTTGGTTTTCCAGGAGAGCTCTGGGATTGAACTGGTGCTGTTGTCTCGGATGCATCGGAAATACCGGCGAAGAGCTGTTGTTCATGTCCGGTTTTGTCAGTCCATTTCCTAGAGTGGAGGACAGTTGTTGCTGCTGATGCTGCTGAGGAAATCCTCCACGAAGATTGGGGAGCAAGTCACTGGCATGCCCGAAACCAGCAACGTTGGAAGGTGGCGGCTGCGGCTCTTGTTGGTCCGAAGAAGCTGGAGAGATCATCTGCGACCCCAGTCTCAAATGCGGAGTCTCGCTGGCAAGCTTTTGTTGCTGCTGCTGCTGCTGCTGCTGCATGGCGAGCATGCGAGCTTGGAGCATCTCCGGCGACATGAACTGCTGAGGAGAATTGTTCCGGGGATTGGCATCTCCAGTCCTCGGCTGGACCGGCGAAGAGCCCACCAAGCTCTGTGGATTCTGTCCGAAAAGAAAAGCCATGGAGCTGGGAACTCGCTGTTGTTGGAGTCCTTGATTCTGGTTCCCAGGTGGAGAAGTTTGCTGTGGCTTGGCAGCGGCATCACTACGAGACATCTGCTGGTGCTGCTGGGATAGAGCACGATCCTGCGCAGCAGCCATGGCAGATTGGAGCTGCATAAACTCCTGGAGCTTCATATTGTTTGATCCAGGCGCCGCCTTGCTTCCTTGCTGCTGGATAGCCCTCTGCGCGAGATGTAGCGCATGCTGGAGATAGAGATGGGATTGGAGCTGCCCATCCACGGCTGCCTGCTGGAAGAAAAAAAAACCACACCACATTGTAAATCACCGCTCTTCTGAAATCCTCTCTCCAAAGAAGCTTTCTCCTGCCAAAAAAGCTTGGAAATACCTGGCCCTGGTGCTGGAGGAGATGCGTCTGCGGCCACGCCGGGAGCGATCCAAATGGAAGACCCGCGCTGCCGGAGACGCTAGCAGCGGAGGAAACCGACGGATCGACCTCGGAATTCGGCGCTGCCGGAGAGGCGGAGCCGCGAGCCCGGAGCGACGCCGCTCCGCCAAGGACGCCATGGCCATGGCCGGGCGGAGGAGGAGCTGGAATCTGCTGCTGTGGCTTCTGCATCATACCCTAGCCAGCGGAAATATTTCCACCGATCCTCGCCTTCCTCGTGTTCCTCGGCCTCTTGCGCCTTGTTCTTCCCAGGATTTCGCTGTCTCCACGGCACGATCCGGGCGATTTGTTCGTTGGAGAAGAGACGCTGACTGCTCGGCTGCGGAATCTAGAAATCCAGCTCTCTAGCTCTAGCTGCCGCTGTAAGAAACTCTGCCCACTGCGCGATTCTTCCAAGAAAGAATGCGGCCTCGAAGAATTCGTGAGAAGAAATTCTTTGTTTTTTTCCCCTCTTTGCTGTGATCTGTCGTCCGGCACTGATCTAAACAACTAGACGCGTCACATTGCTGCTGCCACGGTGGGCTCCGCATCCGGCGATCCCGCTTTCTCCGCCATCGCTACTAACCCTAGCCATGCTTTGCTCGTCACTGTAAATGCCCGTCAATGTCTCGCGTCACAGATATTCCACGAATCTTTCTCGTTCTGTGTTGCCCTCGTTCCAACCAAGCGTACTGCCGCCGACCGAGCTCTTTCTTCTTTTTCCATTCTATTCCTTCGGGCTCGGCTCCTATCACTTAAGAAGTTCGTTCCTTCTTTCTTTCTTCCCGGAGGAGAGATCTGTGATGACGTAGAACTTGGAAATTAAAACACTCAAGCGATGGCTGTGAAGAAAAAGAGGAGCTTTGACTCACACACACTTACTTCGATTGCCTGTGCCTCTTTTTCTCTCATCCCAAAAACCTGTTTTAAGTGGATGAGCAGTGGCAAAACGAAGCGAAAGGAGGAGCCTTGACTCACACTTTGATGGCGGCTGTTGCCTCGTCTCCTTTTAGCAGCAAGTGGCACTCTTGTTGCGACTCGGGCTTTTCTGACGTCCGGATGAGCTCTTTCATCTGTTCCTGGGAGTTGAACACAAAGTGATTAGACTTCGACGAAGCTTACAGGACAAAGATCTTACTGTGACGCTCGGGATGCTGTAAATGCTGTGATGGACCATGGAAAGTCGCTACCTTTGTTGATCTAGCTCTTAACAGTAGCATGCCCATTCTTTAAGAACAGACGTTTCTTCACGCCATATCTTACTTTAGCATTCAAATCTGTAAGAAACAAGATGAATCACATTTCCATTAGAACTTTGATTTCTTACCAGTGATCCTTCTTCCTGCCAATCCAATCGTTCAGAGCTTGCTTTGAAACTTTCAGCCTTCCAAACGTCTCGGGCTTTCTCATTTCCATAAACTGGGGGTCAAAATCTAAAAAAGATAAAATATAATTAAAAAAAACATTTTATATTCTGCTTACCGACAAACTTTCCCAAGTTAAAAACAGGAAGACCAAGTTGATTCTCCAACACTTGCGTCACCACATTCTCGAGAAGGCCTGTAGCATTTTTTGCTTCACTCCGCCTCGAAGGGCCAGTGACAATTATCAAGTCTTCTTCAACTGGCACATCTGTAGCGGGATGTTAAAATCCTGAAAGAAGAAAAGAAAGGAAAACAGCTGCGTATCTGACCGTAGTGCTGTTCTTTCAGAATTCTCAACACCACAAGAACAGCTGCTCGAGCTTCCCCCTTCAGTAAACAACAAGCAGTTCAGCGATTGAGAAGGGAAGGCTTCCCAGGAATTGTTTTACCTTTGACAGCCCCTGAATATCGATTGTGAAGCAATCTCCAGGAACTCTTGTAACTGACACCTTACGCAATATCGATTCTCCATACTCTTTAAAAATTTGATCTCCCGGACCACCCTTAGACTTGTTTTTAATCATCTCCTCGGCCCAGTCCTCGATCAAAGCCTTAAGCACTCGTTCATTAGGGGCATATCTGGAATCCATAGACTGATTTAGCAGCAAAAGGATCGTTTAAACTATTTACCCATTTTTCCTCATTTCTTCGTAGATGGCTAGTATCCTTTGAATCTCACGCAGATCTCCATTCCTCCTGGCCCGTAGCAATGTATTGTATGTGACCTGCACACGGACAGCTAATAGTATTTCTTTATATGATCTATTTAAAAGACCTTACCGAATTTGGTGAGATACCATCGCGTTTCATAGTTTCGAAAAGGCTTAAAGCCATGGAAACGTCTTGAGAGTTCACGCAAGCCTTGGAGCCAGGAAAAACCAAACCTCATCAGTGAGTGACTAGCTACGATGACAGAACACATGTAGGACGAAGCTTATTTTGGATTTGAAGCGGACCTTGATGATGGCTGTGTAGGCGACCACATCAGCTATAATGCCAGACTTTCCCATTCTTTGAAAAGCCTGCAAAAGTATGTCGACGTGAATACAAAATATGAGAATACAAAGCTTCTTTCTTATACCTGAACAGCCCCTTGTTTGTCACCATTGCAGCCATACGAATTAATAAGGATGCACCAGCTTCGCTTATCCGGCCTGAGTCCAGAGCTCACCATCTCCTGCATAACAGCTTCGGCCTGTTTTGGAAGCTTATCACACGCCCTCATCATCGTGTTATAAGCCACTGAGTCGGGACGGACCCATTCGGAGAAGATCACACTTTCGTCTTGAACTTCAATTCCAGCTAGTATACGTCCAGAGGTCTTCCATTCTCTAAACAGCTTATGCGCCTTGTCAGACTGGCCGCCGTCGACGCAAGCGCTAAGAAGAAAGTTGTAGGTGAAGGCATTTGGAGTACACCCAGCTTGAACCATATCTTGATATACTTGAAGCGTCTTCTCAACCAATGCCCCTTTCGAGCAAGCACCAACAAGTGAAGTCCAAGTGACAACATTGGGAACAATACCGGTTGAGTCCATATCACGTTTCATTTGAAATACTCGATCAAGCATTTTGGCCTCACCAAATATCTGTATGAAAAGCTGTTACTTACGAAAGACGTAGGGATAAATGACTACCTGGATTAATGTACCATAGCTTAGAACATTCAGCTTGATTTCTTTTGCTTTCAGTTCCTCATACAACCGCAAAGCAAGTACTGGGTTCTTAGACAGACGACAAGCCTTAAAGACGATGTTGTACGTTGTTACATCCGCTGCAATACCGGAACCCTGCCTCCAGATCAAAACAGCGATGAAAAGAGATTCAGTGCCAATCTCTCTACCTGCATCTGTCTGTATAGCCTCAGAACGTGCTGGATGTTTCCTGCGTGAGCATTCATCATGCTGTTACATACGTATACGTTTAGAACTGTTCCAGCCTTTAACAATCCCTGGAAAAGATATCACAAGTTACTCGAACACTTCAAACTTTTAAATCTCACCTCGAAAATCGCTGTGGCTTTTTCAGTATCTCCACAACGCCCGCAAGCATCAATCAGTATGCAATACGAGTACATATCTGGAAGAACGCCGGTACTTTCCAGAGCTTGAAAGACCTGGAACACCGACTGAAGATCTCCCTGGTCTCGAAATTTTTGCATGATCATGTTGCATGAATGCAAGATGTCCGGAAGTAAACAAGCATACCTTCAGTCACACAACAATAAACTACTTTTAGAACGACAGAAGAAGAGAGCTAACCTGAGAGCCAAGGCAGTGTTGTGCATTCTAGCACAGGCTTCCATGCAAAGGGTAGGCTTCACCAAGTTCTTTACGACGAATCCACATTCTTTGGAGAAAAACGAAGTAATGGTTAGAAAAAGCTGGAATGGAAGGAGGAGAACTTACTCGCGAGCCTTTCCAAGCAACGAATGCATTCCTCTACTCTGTTCTCCTGGAGTAGCCGGCCACATTCATCGATAACTAGCTGCAATCCATACCTCCCAAGATAATCCGATGGAGAAGAAATCCCCATCTCACTCAATGCGCGGCAAAATTCAACCAGATAAGGAAGCCGGCGCTGCTCCAGCACTGACACGCATCCATCACGCACGGCGTGGATCCCTACAACTTCCAAAAACGCCCTAGCATCTCCCACAGCGCCATGCTCCAAGCGCTCCTGGACCAATCCTATCATCTCGATCAGCCTGCCACGCCGAGCCAAGCGCTTGGCTTCCCCGACGTAGAAGAGATTGCTCGTCGCTGCTGGAGCCGACGCCGCTGGATTCGCCGCTCCCCCGAGCCAAGAATGCGGCAATGCCATAGAAATCTAGGGCTCGAGGGTTTAGGGTTTAAGGGTAAAGGCAATGTCCCAAAATCTAGGGTTCTAGCTCGTGAGAAAGGGGGAGAATGTCGCACATCCAGTGCCCATACTGCAGCGGCCTGGAGGGACGATGCACGCCATCGGGCAGCGGCCGCTTCATCACCGAGTGTAAGGCCTGCGCGCGCGTCGTCGATGAGCGGCGCGTCCAGATCCACGAGGTTTTCGTCGAGCGCGCCACGGACACGCCGCTGTGCATCGTCACGCCGGATTTCAGCGACAACGAGCGATTCCGGGTGCCGCCGCTGGACGATGATCCGTTCGAGAGCAGTGGATTCATCACGGCATTTAGCACTTGGTCGCTGGAAGCCACACCGCTCTTCACCAACACGACTAGCACGGTGTGTGGCCATCTGGCCGAGCTGGAGAGAGTGATGGCCGAGTACTATCCGAATGGAGGGGCCAACCTCGCGGGAAGCTTGAATCTGGTGGACATGCTACGAGCGTACTTCCAGATCGTGGAGGTGTCGTCGGTGCTGGGACTGGAGAGGGATAGCTCCGAGCACGCCATCCAGCTCTTCCGGGATTGCTCCACCGCGACTTTGCTACGCAATAGGAATATCGAGGCGCTCGCTACAGCCGCGCTGGTGCAAGCTAGTCGTGAGGCGCAAGAGCCAAGAACTTTGCAGGTTGGAAGAATTTTTATTTTTTTTCGTTTGATTGAATCTGAAAGTTTTTGAGCAGGAGATATCGGTGGCTGCCAACATACCTCAGAAAGAAATTGCTAGACACATGAAGCTCCTGTCTGATGCTCTTAAGCTAAGCCAGCCGATCAACAGTAATTCTATCTCGGTTCACATGCCCAGGTTTTGTAACTTGCTGCAGCTCAACAAGACGACTCAGGTAACTCATCGCTGTTGTTCTACTCCCTTGCACTGAGATGCGTAGATTATGCACAGGACCTGGCCTCCCATATAGGAGAAGTTGTGATAAGCAAAAGCTTTTGCACCAGGAGAAATCCTATAAGCATTTCAGCAGCAGCGATATACTTGGCTTGTCAGCTGGAAGACAAGCGTAAAACTCAGACCGAGATTTGTAAAGCCACCGGGCTCACTGAAGTAAGTCTAGGATTTTCGAGCTTTCTCTCTGGAAGTTGCTTGACTTATTCTTTTATCGTCATATTTCATTTGCACAGGTTACTCTACGCAAGGTTTACAAGGAACTGCTCGAGAACTTGGACGACCTGATGCCTAAAGACTACACTCCAGCCGTTCCTCCGGAGAAGGCTTTCCCAGTAACTACAGGGCTCCGGGTTTCCACTATCTCCAAGCCTTCAGTCGAAAGCCAGGGCTCTGGAGTGGGAATCGACTCGAGCTCAGGTGCTACAGTTTTGGCTGGTGGTGGATTCGCGAGCATGCAATCCTCCGGGGCATCGTTCCGGATGCCATCAACAGCCGCAGCAGCAGCAGCACAAATCCCTCCTCATCTCCGCTCGTTATCCGCGGCGTCCTCCTTGGCACCCGTGTACGCGAGGCCTCCAGGGAACGTCTTCATGATGCCTCCGACCATGTCGAGCTCGGTGACGCCTCTGGCCTTTCTCGGCGGCGAAGCAAGCAGGGAAGCAGAGAAACCAAAGACAGGCCTGCGAACTGATAAGTTCGATGTGGATCTCAACGCAGGGTACGTCTCTCCGTCTACAAGTCCCCGAGAAGCCGAGAATCCTCCTCAGTCCTCGTTTAGCTACGGCACGGCCGCAGCAACGCCGCCACCGTTTTCTGCAACGACGACGACCAAGCCCGAGAGACGGCCATCTCTGCACGATCTTAACATGGTTCCAACCATGGACGACGATGAGATTGTGGAGCTGGATATGTTTGAGAGGAAGCCGCCGGGTCCAGACTTGAATGGCGCTCCTCAAGCTGCTGGAGATCACCACCAGGATTCGAGTGGTAAGTTGGGAGCCATGCCGTTTATGTGGGGAGGACCCCATGGTTTTCCGGCTGCGGCTCCAAAGAAGCAGGAAGCAGTGGCTGCAGCTCCATGGCTTTTCAACGCGCTAGAAAAATCCTCACAGGAAGTCAAGAGTGAGGAGAAGATTGCCAAGCGTGATGAGAAGCAAACCTTGTAAAAAAGCAAAAGTTACATCAACTAAGCTCAAGAACACTTGCAAATTCTTTGTCTAGTATTCAGAAATGGATATGCCATGAAAGTTGAATCTGCTATCCTGCTCAAGTTCTCACTTATGCTACTAACCTTATCTTGTTTGATATCCCTCAATCTGCTGCTAAGTGAGAACTGAGAACTACTGGCAAGCAATATGTGACAAGGTCAGAACTTTCGATTGTTGGGAGAAGCCAGGGCTTCTGACGATCAATGTGCAGAAGCTCAGCGAAAGCTCGTTTTATTTCTGTTGTATCACGATCTCCTTTGGTTCCTGGTAAGAGAAGAAGCTCTAAGTTTGCAAACATTGACGATGAAATGGAAGGAATCGCAGTGATCCCTTGTTTAGGTCCTTAACAGCAAATGGTGGCACCATTTTTTATTTGTAACCGTTGATGAAGGAGTTCCCGAGGGCGAGCACGTTCCCGCCCAGAACGGGCGAGCCATGGCGAGCGCGTTCTGGAGGGAACGAGCGAGCCCGTGCCCGGGGAACGGCCTTAACGGGCTGTGGCGAGACCATTAACGGACACGTGGAATAACGTTATTTGAGGATGAAAGGAATTGTAACTATCCATCGATTTGCTCCTCACACAAGGTGGCGTTCAAGCCAGTGATAGTGTTACTTCTAATGTAACTTTTTTTGTTTTCCATCAAGCTTCGAAGAAAACAAAAAAACTGTTTATCTGAATCAGCAAAGTTAAAATGCTACAAGCACTCAGTCTATGATCTTCCTTCCTAGCTGATGCACTTACACCATCAATTGGTGTAGAAAGTTAGACAAAGGTCCGAATCCACCAGCAACCTCTGCTCAAAATTTATAATCTAGATGAAGGGTCTATGGTCAAGTTTGCTATGGAGTCCCCAGAAAAGATTGTCTTTTTGCCTTGATGACGTTAAAGCTGCCTTCTCTGATGCAAATCTGCCACCGAAGTTCTATCACTCCCAATGGGGATCATCACTTAGTGTTAAGCCACCGGCTTCAAGTTTTGATCCAAGTACCTAGCCATGCCTGCAACAATTTGATCCACATCCTGATGCATTCGCATTGAAAGCTGGAACTCAGTGAGGCAGGAGGCTTCTCTTCCTCCTCCCCCACCTCCTCCTGATCACCGAGAGGACGTAGAGCAAGAAGAGGAAGAGCAGCGCAACCAGCAGCCCGGCAAGGATTGGAAGAAGCAGCGGGGTTGCCGCCACAGCCGTTGCTTGCAAGTTGAGATCATTGGAGGAAGCCAGCTGAAGATCCACATTGCTGCTGCTGCCGCCACCTTTGCCTTCCAACAAAAAGGTATCACTGCTGCTAATGCCTTCTCACTCGATGAAATCACTCGCACTGCCGCTACTGCTGCTCACCCCGACATCATACACTAAACTCTGAGAGCTTGATATTGAAGTCTCTTCAGCTTCTTGAAACGATTCAGTGTTTATCATCTTGGCCTTCCCACCATCCTCGCCCAAACTTCGAGGGAACCACCGCCACATAAACGGTGGTGGCGATGCTGGTGGTTGTGAAGCGTTGCTGCTGGCCTCCTTAGCGTCACCAGTGCCGCCAGCCAGTAACTTCTGAGATGGAAATCCTGTGGTTGCATGGGACTTTAGCACCTGTTCAGTGTCCATCTCCAAGTTTATCTCAAGAGGGTGGTGGCTTCTTCTTGGATGAGCTTCCACGCAGCGTCTACGTGCTTGTCTTGCGTGAGTGGACCGCCGATGGCCATCCTCAGCGTGTAGACGCCCGAGAGCACCTATTCATGCAAGTATAACTTTGAGAAGAGAGCTCGGATTCGCGATAGTTTTGCTGGCTTACCGTGTGAGTGATAAACATTCTTCCGCTGGAATTGACAGCCTCCAGAAGCGTCAAGTTTAGAGTGCGTCCGTTGTCCGGATCATCGCTTTCTGGCTTTAGCCTGAAGCAAATCAAGCCGAATGTGCGAGGAACTAGAAGCTGCAAAATGGTGCCAGCGTGTTTGAAGAATAGAACGTGTGCCTTACTTGGAAGCGTGGGTCTTCACGCACGAAGCCTTCGAAGCGCTTTGCAAGGCGGACATGGTTCCTTATGTAGCTCCGTAATCCAGAAGCGCCATTCATGCGCATGACAAACCACAGCTTCAACGACCTGTTTTACAATGTTTCCTAAGGATTTGATTTTAAAAGGCAAAAACGGAAGAATAGAACCTGAATCTTCTGCCGAGAGGTATCTGCCAGTCTTTGTAGTCGACAACTTGATTTAAATCAGATGCCTGGAACAACAAAGAAAGGAAAAGCAAACTTAAACACGAAAGTGAGAAAGATATGCGCTACCTTGTTACGCAAGTACTCAGGTGTTGTAGAAAGAGCTGACACCAGATGGCTGGATTCCTATCGAGAAAAGCAAAAGGTATAAAAACTCTTGGAAAATAAATAAACACCACTTTACCTTCACCCAAAGAGCAGAACAATCGAAGTTTGTAAGCAGCCACTTATGTGCGTTCATGTTAAACGAATCTGCTTTCTCAACTCCATCCAGGTGATGCCGAAACTCTGGGCAGATGCACGCAGAGCCAGCGTAGGCAGCGTCAACGTGGAACCACATTCCAAAATCCTGGTAACATTCTTGCAGATTTTTGAGATCGATAGAGATTGAAAAGAAAAGAGCTATACCTTTGCAATATCTCCTAAAGCAGACAATGGATCCACGGCCGAAGATGATGTAGTTCCCACCTAGGAAAGAACATAACAGGCGTAAGGAGGGAGACAAGCTAGTTGCACGAACTCACAGTCCCGCAAAGGAAGAATGGCAAAAGTCCCTGCTTGACGCCATCCTCAAGTGCTTGTCTCATCGCAGCTGGTGATACTGCATAGTTTGTTGAGCTATCAGTTGGAACAATCACTAGATTTTCAAGAGGAATCCCAGCAATCTGGACAACAAACACGAAGAGGTTATCACGGATTGAAAGGACTAGAAGCTTGAAATGGCGTACCGCACATCCTTTTTGCAGACAGGAATGAGTTTGATCTGACGTATACACCGCCAACTTTGAAAGAATCTCCGCTTCCGCCAAACCTTTTCTCTTGTTTTCTGAAATGGCTCGAGTTCGAGCAGCGAGTAGCACCACAGCAACTGCCTCACTAGCAGTCCCTTGAATCACTCCGCCGCCATTACCTGCATTGTAAAGTGTAAGATTGATGATCTTATAATCTAAAATTTCCACCATACCTCCAAATAGAAACTCGTCGGGAAGTTTCAACAGCTTTGCAAGCCAGTCAAGAACAATGGTCTCCAGCTCTGTCGCCGCCGGCGAAGTTATCCAGCTAAATCCAACAATGTTCAATCCAGCGCTTAACATTTCCCCCAAGAACCCTGCCGTGCTACTGTTGGACGGATAATATCCGAAAAAATTCGGACTTTGCCAGTGTGTGACTCCCGGAATTATCTTGCTCTGAATATCTGAAAGGAAGGAAGCTCGGCATTTTTATCGCGCGCTTGGAAACAGAACATACCGGCAAAAACGTCCTCCAGCGCTTCGGGATCTTCTGGCGCAGCCGGAGGCAACAAAGTTTTCAAGTATCCAGGCTGCGCAATAAATCAAGTGTCAGGCAAAGTAGAAATTGGAGGAAGAAAAGAAGGAAAAACGTACAGAGACTTGACTGCGAACGGGAAAGCTCTCGATATCACGGTAGTAATCTGCAATGAAGTCCACCATCTCGTGAGCATGCTTGCGAAATTCTTCCGCGTCTATTGGCTTGGGCCCAATGTTCGCTTCCCCCATTTCTCGAGACACGAAGACGGCAAACTGTCACACAGGGTGAGAAGCAAAACGAGACCTGCGAATCCAAGCCGAAAAGAGACACAGCGAACAACAAGGCCCTAGAAAATCACGACAACGTTAAATCCAAACACACATTATCGATGAACAATCATACCTTTATCCTTACCTGAATGGAACGTTACATTGGTTTCATTTAAAAGCTACCAGGTAAAGTTTGGTCTTGCCGACATTTCTTGCAGCTTCTTGTGATGGCTTGCTTCCAGCTGACACTGCAGTTTGCACGGCTAGGAATTTCAAACCTATTGCGGAAGAGAAAAGAAAAACTTACTCTGCATTCCTTGAGAAGAGGGGCTCGAGAGAGGACGACTTGAAGAAGCGAATTGACTTGGCAAGGGACGGACGAATCCTCCAGCTCGATTGGAGCATCAGGCTGCAAGAGAAGATTAGCTACATCTTCTGGAGTTACCTCTTCGTCATCCTCGAGAACAGGTGCATCATACTCGGGAACACTTGATGCTGGGTCACTGCTGGATCGCGATCACTGCCTCGAGCTGCGAGGGCAGTGCTGGGAAATCCTCCGCTTTCTTGTCCGCTGTTGCTGCAGGAGTCTGCCCGCACGCCGCGAAACATGTCAAAGAAGAAGAAGAAATGACAGAAACAAGCGAGCTCTACACACCTCAAGGAGGAGGATCTTCAATCCCCTGCTTGCCTGTGTGCTTGCCTGTGCTGGAGCGCGTCGCAACCAGGAGAACGCCAATGCTAGAGCTTCCATCGCCGAGGCCAGGGTTACTATGTAAAGTATCGATTTAGAAGATCGTGAGAGATAAGGAATATTATCGTAAAGAGATTTGCTTGGATCTCAAGCAGCTCGCGAATCTGAGGATCATCACCGTGTACAATAATCGCAACATAACGGATTTCCATCCCCAGCCACTTCAGAAATGTGAGAAAGAGAAAAATGGGCATTATCAAAGGTTTAAGTAGTCTTAAGCAAAGGAAGCGAAAACCACGCGATCAAAGTATCGAGAAGAACCTCAAAAAAGAAATCGCTGGATTACCACGAAGATGCATTCGCCATGCCTCGAATTTTTCCAAAAGTGCCCAAAACAGCGCAACTGATGGTTGTGGAAATACACCATCCTGAGACGACTTTTTAGCTTGACAATTTTCCACTTCCATTCTCTCTGGGATAGCAAAGGGGAAAAAACCAAAGAGCGATTTTCTCTCCTTCTCTTGTCTAGAACCAAGAAGCACAATACATTCTACCACTCTTCTCTTGCTCTTGGGCGATATCGATACCTTCAAAACACAGGAATCACGCAATCGCACTCCACTGAGCTGGTACTCCGCGTGACTTGCAGTAGAAGATCAAGGTGGTCAATGACATGGGCATGGCTGCAAACACAGCCTTGGCCCCATCAAGATGCCCTTCTTGGGCATTTTCTGCAACTATAGACGTTCATGCCACTACCTCCCTCTCAGGCATTTTGACAAAGATCTATTTTGCCTCTCTGTTTGCGATGTTTCCATGGAGGATGATGTTCCAGAGGACCAGATTTTGATCAAAGCCATGATCAAGCATCACCTTTGCCTCATCCAGATGCCCGTTTTGGGCATACGCTGCTACCACTGCCGAGAAGCTCACTAGATTCCCGGAATTCGATCGCGCACCGTATTTGCAAAGGTGACGAGCTCATTTTCCAAGTAGGCCTGAAGCATCACTGTGCACGACACGACGTTCTTCTCGCTCATCTCCTTGAACATTTTCCTCGCAGAGGCAAGATCACCCAGTTGGGCATATCCCGTGATTATCGCCATTAAATTCCACGAAACTAGGCTCCTCTCCCGTGCTGCACAAATCCCGACGCCAAAATCGTCCAGGGCACCACATTCCTGGCGCTCATCCGATCAAAGCACTCCTTGGAGCGCTCCACTTGGCCGTCGCGATGGAGCAAAGCATTCCAGGAACTGATCGATGGCCTTGCGATCCCCAGCGGCCATCCAGCCCATTGGGAAGAATCCTGTTGTGCCTGTTTCGCCCCTCCATGCCTGGATCGCTCTGGCGCGCCCGAATCCCCTCGAATTCCCACGCTGGAGAAGGCAGTTGATTGCCGCCAGTGAAGTGTGCTATTGAGAGCATATTTTAGGAATAATTTATCATCCTCGCGTGACCAAACTGGCATTTGAGAGATTGTAATCGATCGAATCGAATGGTTTTTTAATGCACGAAGCATGTCTGGCCATATCCCAATGGATTCGTTCATAGTAAAGCTGGATCTTTATTTATTTATAAATAGAGATTGTGGACAAGATGGGATATAACTGTTGATATGCTTGTCACCGGGCACAAACTTTGCATGATTGTGTACAGGGGTGATGTTCTTGTTGTCGATGCTTATACGGAAGTGGTCCCTTCTTGAAGCTAAAGCCAATATAGAAAATGTTAAGACCCACAGTAGATAGACGCGAAGCACCAGAAAATTAAAAACGCAAAAAAGAAAAGGTACTTAAACATTTCCAGTTTCCTCCAACGAAGAACTGTCAAGGAAAGAAGAACGCATCGAATCAGAACGAGCAAAATTGAAGAAGAAATCTACTAAAGTAAGATCCATGAGCCTAAATTTCATCCAAAAAGCATGAGATGGATGATGTCGATTTCCCCTGTTAAAGACACTCAAGACTAACTAGAACAATGGAAAAGGTAAAGAGAGTTCTGTTATTGTATTTAAGGTTATAAGCTAACCTTTTTCTTCTTTTGAATGCTCTAATGCTTTGGCAGGATTGGAAGCTTGTGGGACAAACAATCCAAGTCGGTCAGGTTTGGGCTGCTCCTTCTTTGTCCTCTCACTTTAGCTGCTCTTGGGTTTGCCTGGCTTGTCAAAGTGCAATCTTTTTGCAGCAGGATTGCTCAACACAAAGAGATGTTATGCGTGGCCTCTCCAATGATTTCTCTCTGTGTTAGCTTCTCAGCCGTGACAGAAATGGCCTTTATCTTTCTCATACATATGCTTTTGTTTTCAAACATGTTTGGGAACAATTGCTATTATGCAACTGTTGGCAATGCAGGCCAAGATTCTTCAACCCAACCCACCCAAGAAGGTGGCAAACTCTTTCTTGTATCAAGAATCTATTCAAACTCATTGGAAACCTCTCTTAATACTTCTCTCACACTTGGGATAGCTGTGTTTTTATAGCTGGTCATGATTAACTAGATTCCACTATAAAGCAGGGCTAAGCTTGAAATTCTCTCTAGACACTTTGGAGCTTCTTCCATCACACTTAAATATCTATTATCACTGGTAAAGTGATGCAATGGCTGACTTTGGTAAGCTGATTAACCACCACCACATTAATAGCATTGAAACTTGCAAGCTTGAGATAAAATTTATTATGATTGATGTAAATTGAGTTTAAGCTATCCGAGTGGCTTAAAAACTTTGGGGATGTTAATATTTCCATTTTGATATATTGGTAAATACTAAATTTCTTCACCTAGTGCTTTACCTCCTTCTACAGCCTTATAATAAAATTATTTTTTCACTTTAAATAGTATGTGTTTATTATACTAGTACCTTCAAACTACTTTATATTTTTAATAAAAAAATATTAACTTTTTAACTTCTCTGTAATCACATTAATTTTTAGTAAAAAATAGTTACAGAATTTTAAATTTTTGCAAAAAAGTAGTTAATTTTTATAAATAAAATTTTAATCAAATTTAATCACTTTTCTATACCACTAAAATATAAAATTACCAACTTGAATGACATTACATAAAAATCTCATTATCTAAGTATTCTTTTTTTCAATTGATTAAGGTTTGTAGAATACGTGGGGTTAAATGTCCTTGAATTTAAACTATTAACCTTTTATGAAATAATGATTTAGTACAAAATTAAGAAGTTTTAGAATTGGAATTGCTAGAAATGTCTCTTTAAGAAAATGAGTGTATTTCCTCCCACATGTACCTTAATGGAGTAATGACAATAACATAAATTTATCAAAGTAGTTGAATAAGCCTAACAATGCTCTTAGGTATAGTTGTGCATATATAGTTTCAAACTATCAATGAATTCTTAACACAAGATTTAGTTATTAATAAATCTCAATAGCCCCAAAACACGTGCCAAACACTATACCAGTTTTAAGTCATACCTTTCAACTTGATAATTGCCCTTACTATTTGATGGATCACATCTTCAAGAGCTTTATAATGGTTTTCCTTTAATGATATCTTTATTTATAGCATGAATGTAAATAAGCATTTAGAAAATGTTTTCCAACAGTTGGAAGAGTTCTTACTTATTGCTAAGTTTTCTAAAAGCACATTTATGTTACTGAAAGTTGAATATCAGAGGGTTTTGGACTTCAAAAAACTTACAACCAAATCCAAAAGCCTTTAGACCAAAATTTCACCATGACATTTTCAATCCTTGGGGATGTGAAATTTATTTTTCACAATAAGCACATTTATGATATAGTCTCCATAAACTCTTGTTTATATAGAACCAAGCTTTTATAGCCAAGCAGTTGCATGGAAATGGTATGTACATACTCAAGGTCATGAAATCTCATTTTGGCATCCTAGAAGTGCTCCAGGTTTAAGGTTGAGGGATTTGTGGAGCATACCCTCAAAAGAGATGTGTGTGGAATCCATAGGATAGGCTGCTTGATGTGTATGAGAGGGAGTTCCTTGCAAAGTTGTTTTAGGAGGACTGAAGATTATATCAATTGATTTATATTGTGTTGGTTTTACCAATTGCTCTACTCATCCTCTTAAATAACATTGCAAAGCAAAACACTTGTTCATGTGAATATTATTACTATAATTATTAGTAACACTAGTACTTGCCTAGAAGCTACACGGTTTGCAAAGGTAAATTTAATGCTATCACTGACTAATAATTCATCATTTTGCTATACTAATCATTGTGCTATATGATATTTAATATGCATTTGTTCTTCTTTTCTTGCTGGATAACAAAGGAAAAACTCTTGGTAAAATTTTTTTTTCTTCCACAAAAAGGAAGCATGATATCTATTCCCAATTGGAGCAAATTATCTCAAGCACCCAAGCAATGCTATGTCATCAAACACATGCATTCTTTATTGTAGTGTCTAATATTAATTCTGAAATTAAAGGTTTTTTTGTTTGTAAAGCATAAGTGAAGCATTTGGCAAAGGGTAATATGGGTGGCAATATCACTTGACCATGCTGACCACACATAGCAATGCTCTCATTTTTAAAATGTGATGCATTAGAAAAAGATGATAAGAAAACAATTTTAAATTTTGAAACTTATGAATCTTTGTACATAGTGTGCCTTGCTAGTGTGGTGTGTGAAGGTGGAGATGGTGTAGTGGATATTTCTTAATGTGTATATAGTTCATTTTGATATGAAGTAATTTGAAGTGGCTCAAGTTGTTTATTAGAATTATTAGTATTTAAATTCTTATCAAAATGATTGGTATTTCTTATAGTTCTAAGAAGATGATGAAGGCGAGGCATAATTTGAAAATGTCAAGTACAAAGCTAGAAAACTATAGCTTATGCAAGTTCATGTTTGTAAACAAACTTGAATTTGTAAAAGAAATATGAAAGTTTAATATATGATGAAGGCTAAAGATATAAACAAACACAAACCTATTGCACACTTGGTTCTATGTGCTCATCTAAAGTTTTCCAACTACTTGCCAAAAAAGAAAAGGGTGTGCCATGAACTAAGAAGAAAAACTGACTTAATTGTGGGATTTAGGGTTATATGAAGCAAGAGCTCAAAAATTGTGATGTGCCAAGTACAAATTTGATTTGGCCCTTTTGGGCAATCAGGATTTCCACAGCATTGCAAGGCATTGAGGTTTCTCATTGCCTTAGCCACAGCAGAGTCAAATCAGTTGCCATAGCTCAAGAATCTCTAGTGCTGCCACAAAGTGATGGTAAGAAATCGCAAAATTGGTTCCTTTGTTCAGGAAATCACTTGAGACCCTGGGCAAGGAGATGAACAAGTTGTATGAGCTCATAGCACACTGCAGATCCAAACTCATCCCACTTCCATGCTCGCCATTGGAACTGCCTGCAAAGCACATAGTTCAAGGCAACTCTTGTCAGGAATCCCCCAATTCTTGCCACATTCCTGACTCTCACCGGATTCCTGACCTGCAGACCACATTCCTGATTCTCGAGACACTTCCCTATTCCTGACTCTCGAGACACTTCCCTATTCCTGACTCTCAAGACACTTCCCGATTCCTGAGTCTCGAGCCACATTCCTGATATTGATGTGGCGCCTCCTCGACCTCAGCTATATTTAGGCCGTCCTCGATCCAAGAGTGGTGGAGCTTCATCAACCTATAGTATATATAGGTTAGCCTTGTTCCATTTCTCCACAATTTAAATCAACGCCAGTCTAAGGCCTTTTCTTTGTTTCCACTAGCTTTTCTCTTTGTCTTTAACATTTTCCAGTCTTGATCTTGTTGGGGGTCTTGACAGTTTGATTCAGATTGTGGTTTTTGCTTTTCTTTTAGCTCATTTTGATTATTTGATTGCCTTTGTCTTTTTCCCCCTTTCTTTTCTTTCTTCTTGCCAATGGAGTCTCCAAGCCATCCTGATTTCTTTGCCGAAGTCCTTGCAAAAATCCAGTCTGAGAATACCGAGCTGAAGGCAACCCTTCTTCGCATGCAGCAAGAGCTTGCTTCACTTTCGGCTCAAGGATCCAATAAAGTTCCTGAACCGAAGGTGAGTTTCCCGGCAAAATTTTCAGGCAAGCGTTCGGAGCTTCGTGGATTTTTGAACCAAATGGAGCTGATCTTTGCACTTCAACATCGGCGGTACCCCACTCCCAAGTCTCAAATCGGCTTGGGACATTGCTCGAGGGTGCAGCTTTGTCATGGTTTTCTCCTCTTCTGGAGAAGAGCATGAAAGGGGTCGTGGTTCCGGAGCTGATGGATCTTCAATTGTTCAAAGA